CACCGGATCTTTGGGGTGAACCAGCCTTTGCCGTAATGTGTTTTGGGGTTTGAAAGCCACTGGGACATYATGTTTAGAAAATAAACGTCTCAGTTTCTCCGAAACACCCGCAACATACGGAATAACCACTGGTTTGGGTCTGATAAGACTGAAACATCTTATCAAGAAACAGGATATCATAAATAATGGAATTGCTGAATAAAAATCTATAAATTCTTTAATCCAAGATGATCACAGCAGCATCACAAAAATCAAAGGCTTAGATCTGAGTAAAAAGAGATTCTGCACAACTCCAGATGCCATAATCACATGACCTAACCTTTACAGAGCATGAAGGGAGGACTTGATAGAGCCCGTGGAGGGTCCAAGCTATGTATAGAATTATGGGTGAGACAAACGTGGTCCTACAGACATACCACCACAGCACAGAGCCATCTGGAGCAGGGATCCCCCAACTTCATTAAAAGATCAATAGGCCAACCCTGTCAGCGATCTGCARGAGATAAGCTCCTGTAAATGGAATGAAGGATGTGAAAGATTAAGTCAACTGCAGTGTTATCGCATGGCTGATTACAGCAAAGAATCTAACAATAATATTACCAAMCAAYAACCAGTCATTTACCTACAAACCAACAGCAAACACTTATCAAGGGTACGATTAAGGGCAATGCTTTTAATTAATCATCAGAGTGTGTGTAATACCTGCYCCTCATTTTAATTAATCTGACATTAATCTGGAGTTCTGTTCATAAACAACACATACATTTTAACCATGTTTTCAAAAGGAATGCCAAACATACAATATACTGTGTACTAATACTTTACTAAAACAAAATTACAGTTACTAAGCAAATTGTGATTTTATTTAGATTTCTTTTTCAATGTTTGGTGCAAATATGTCCTAAATATCAGTTTTTACAACATCATCAACAAACTTTGAAACAAAAAACAGCAAATTATAAATAAATTAAATGAATAGGGTCTGGTCAATTTGTAATAGCTCATATTTTAGTGGTTTTAGAAAATGAGACATTATAGGCAACTGTGACAATAGTGTTTAGGCAAGATTTTTTTGTTATGCAACTTGGGATTTTCAGTGTAACTTAGGTTACATAATAACAMATTGTACTTTAAATTAAGCCTTGATCATTAACCATAAGTATTAAAATTTAACTCGTTCAGACACCACAATCTGATGAACAAATTATTAATTAACAAAACTAGATAAAGTGCTGCCACGGGAATTTAGTTTCAGCTTTCTCTAAGTACACATAATGATAGACAACTCTTATTAATAGACTTAACATTAGGGTTAAAACATAATAGACTTAACATTAGGGTTAAAACACCAAGGCGTGTTATGTTGTTTAGAATAAAACGAGTGTTATCTTCGTCTCAGGTCCCAGCGAGCTAACTTAGCTCAAAGCATCAAAGTCAAGCAGCCCAGCTAACGTTAGCAGCTGCAACATCTGTCACGATACAGCTGCTGTTGCGGAAATAGGCGTCAACGATGCTAGTACGACTCTCTCGATRTCGCTGGTAGCAGCTGCCAGAATCGCTGAAGACGTATCAGAAAACAACTTGAGCMTTACCTTGTCGGGTTATTATGGTCTACAGTGCAAAATGAAAAGGTTCCTCCTCCAGAAGTAGCTTTCTGCCCGCTAGCTGGCWGAGAAACAGGGAATGTGTAGCTGGGAGACTCCGACAACCGTTGTTTTGATGACGGTGTTGTGCTGAAAAAAGGCACTCCGTCACGGGAAGCTCAACCGCACTCACTAAAATAATTAGAGCAAAACTGGGGAGAAATTACTCGTATTTGCCTGTATCCATTAAAAACGTGTAAATATTCTTTTGATATGTATGTAAACAGGGAAAACCTGAAGCACTCTTGACAAGGATGCGTTTGACGGAAGGGCGCCTTTTCCAGCACAACACCAGCCGAGCTAGATCCCGTGCTTTACATGAAAACGAGAACATGCTTCCAGGTTTAATATSCGCTTAAAATTTTACTCACGTAAACTGGTCTCATCCGAGGACTAGATGTGCATCGTCCATTATTCTCCTTCGCGTTTATCACACGAGTTCAAAGCACAAAGGTTTTTTTTTTTTTTCTGTGGTTGATTTCTGCTCCGAAAATTTAATAACCAAGGGCGCCCTCTTTTGGTGCGCTTGAGAAACGCACCCAAGACATAAACTTCAAATTCTGTACATCCCCATTTAAATCAAACTCAAAATTGCATCAGGTTTTTTTTTTTACAGCCCAGAGAACCTTAATATAATATTTTATTGGTGTACATAAAATCCAGATAAATCAGTGTAAAAATGCCAACCTGACATCCAAGACTTAATTTGAAATAATAGGCTTAAAAAAAAAAAAACAGGTACACATTTTTCCACATTTGACTGTATGCATTTTATTAAAAGATTAGTTGCAACATGTTCATACCAGTAGAACCACTTTTCTTTGTTTTATATAAAACCCATAAAATTGAAACAAGCCTAGTCATGTTGAACTTGTAAAACTGCGCTTTAGTATTATAAGTTTCTACAAGAAAAATGTTGAGTCAAGGAGAAGAAAAGAAAAACTGAACTATGTTTATTTCCATACAAAATAAAATCAAAGCGATAAATCACAGAGCACAAGATATCAAAGAATATCAAACAATTTCAAATGAAAAGATGACAAAAATGACCGAACAGGAAAGTTATCGCCTTTTTTGGAAAATGTTGCCTCTTCCGATTCCTCCACGGCCTCTTCCTCTTGCAGCCACTGTAGAAAAATACAAAAAAACAGTTCAAGGATTCCAGTGTAATGACTCGACAGAAAATAAACCTATTTATTTCCCACATCAACCCATCTGAACTCAAACTAATGAATGAAAAATTCGCACCCCCAGCACTTTCATCTTCAACTCCTCCTTCCTTGTGGAAGTGGTGAGGAGAAAGTTGCTTAAATGTGTTACAGTAAACATTAGCTGTGTAGGAATGCTAAGTGTGGGGAGATAGTTGTGCAAACGCTTCCCACTCACCTTGTGCTTTAAGAATAGCTGCYTTGCCTCTTCCTGCTCCAGAGCCCTGATTTTTATTCTTCATACTCTTTAACATGGGAGCATTCTTTAACATGTCAGGTAAGATCAGAAAGCGGATTTTGCTGCCACGAATGTACACCTGTTCCAACTGCGCAACTCGGCCATCACGGTAAGTCACTGTGATGTTGGACATCTGTGGGAACAAAAATTACAAAATAAATACAACTTTAATGCTAGGGGTGTAAGAAAATATTGATACACTGAAATATCGCGATATTTCATTTCCCGATACTGTATCGATATTCTAAAGTCCTGTATCGATTTTTAATTAAGGTTTAAAATGTCAACCTTCTTGCCAACCGTTCATTTTTATGTTGTAGTTCAGCCTCTGACCACTAGTTGGCAGCAGTGAGCCAGCCATTTGGCTCCTCTACCTCTTGAGCGCCAGAGAGTAAGGGTAGCATTAGCATTGTAAGTAAACATTAGCTTTTCTTTTTTTTCAGTAAGAGGTTTTTATTTAATAGAATTTTTGGACAAAAAAATCGCAATATATCACCTTGTTTACAGTATCGGGATATATCGTATCGTGATCCCTCTGTTATGATGTGTATCGTATCGCCAAATTCTTGCCAATACACAGCCCTATTTAATGCAACAACAAATTAAAGACCAAAAGAGTAGAGTTTCATCTAATCCATAGGAAAATTCTTGCAAAAGTCTAAACAGCTGTTTAACTTAGTAAACAAGTTACAGCTGCTGCTTTATCCACTTAATACTGAATCTAGTAAAGCCTTTTACAAACCATGTTTAATACAGCTAGAATATGCTTCTTTGGTCACAAATTAGCAGAAATGACATGTGTGCAAGGGAAAGAACTCCCTACGAAACACTTAATTTAATGGTGAAGTTATAGAATCAAAATATTTCATACTTGACTAATGCCATCTAAAGAAATGTACCCAGAAAAGAGAAAAATCAACTAAAGTAGAAAAAAAATAATCTAACAAGTTCCATATGGAGAAATTAAAAGAAATTGTGTTCAATTGACAATAAWGTTATTGAACAGAACTTATAGGGATGTGCTCTATGAAATTATTACATATAAAGTTTGCAACATAAAAGGAGCAGGAATGGCATTGAGCTAGACAAACTAACCAACAGAACAGTATGCGAGGATCCCTAGCAGGTTTGATAAGTAGGTCTGCTGTATGAAGATTAATGGGGTATTTTTTAACTTCGTAAACCTTATATAAGCTATGGGTATGAACTGGAATATTGGAAGCTTGATTTTAAAACAGGCAAAAGTTTTGAGTAATCTCCCTCTTCTTATGGTGCTGCCACAAACTCCTGTAATCTTTTAAAGTGGTTGTGAGCACTATTTTTGCAGGTTTACTGAAGGTATTTTAAATGAGTCTTTGAACACTGGAATGCTCATTAAATTTAACTGCATTTGTAGCGTGTGAATTTTCTTTAAGGAAATAAGTTGTCTCATTAAACAAACCTGGCAGTTCATGTTGTCCTCTGCTTCTATCAGCTTGCCCCTGTACACCTCTCCAGTGTTGGTCTCACAGGTCACAATGTGGCCTTCTGCCTCATGCAGGACTTTGATTGGTACACCGATGGACATCTTTCAAWAGGTCTTCCTGGAAAACAACTCAGTTTTACAATGCTTCTGTCCACATTTCCTGCTTCACAAGGCTGATAAATTATGGAAAYCCATTYCATTAATTTGTTGCCTATGAGACTGTGTGGCCACAAAGTGCTCAGGGTTTCCCAAGTTGGCCTATGTAATACACTAAAGGCATCAGAACAAAAACACGGTGCAAAGAAAGATTATCGGTTCTGATAATGTTTTTTTTTTCATTCTGTGGCTGTTCAGGTCAACGAGTAACTAAATAAACTTGCCATCCAGACAAGACAAGCCATCTGAGAAGTGCAACATTTTAAGCAGGGAAAGACTGCACCCTGTCTTTTATGTGGCCATTACTCAACACATCCCATCTATCTCAACACAGGTGCTGATCAACTACCTCCGTTCACAGTATTACTCACTAAAAGGCTTCTTTCAGCAGGCTGCACCAACACATTGCAAAATTGGTTCAATAGTAATTAAAAGACCTTCATATCTGAACATGTGCTGTGCAAAGTTTGTGCAAAACTCTATTCAGACCATTTATTTTGCTKAAGGTTCTACTCAGTAGTAGATGGGTAGTCATATTTGGATGATCGACTTGCGTTTTCTGTAAAACGAGGTTAAGCAGTGTTAATTTATTAGTATTTGAGATTTATCCACAGATTGCCTTCTTAAACAGTTCTACTAATGAATAAAATATCGTTGCGTACGGATTGGTCTGAAGTCAGATGTAGCATCACTGAATGCTAGCGAAGTTAGCCGCCTTAGCTACCAAGGCTATATAATCTATATTGTTAAGCTAATAAAATAAAAATTCTGCACAGTTTGCTAGTAAACTTAACATCAAGTAAACTACTTTAACTCTTAAAGTTATATCACTAGTTACATTTTAACATTTTAAAATAAAAAGTTCGAAAAATACGAATACTAGCCAAGCTACAATGAATAGAAAATCACTTGAAAACGAAACACGGATGTGAACCGATAAGAGGAAAAACAAGYGAAAACATAACTTCCTCTACGGAGTTAATATTTCTTGTACTATTTACCTCAAATTTCGATTATAAATTGTTTGCTTTGTTGTTCCGTCTTGAAGAGTAAAATACAACGTGCGCTTGACGCTTTAGCAAACCTTTTGAGCCTTTTTCCGCCTCCTACTTGGGTCAAAAGGAGTACTTCCTGTGGCACTTACCGCGGTGCATTATGGGATATGTATTTTTACACATAACTYAGTGAATAAGTGACGTAAACGCAAGAGGAGAAAAAAAGATTAATAAAAAGGTCAAAACATAAAATTAAACATAAATAATTCAAAATTTAAAAGACCATTTTGACATCCAGCCCAGCAGTTATAACTTATTCTGCTTAAATTAATTCAGTTTTGTTGCGACCCAAAGAAATGAATATCAACTTACCTGGAGTTGATTTTTGAAATGACATTAATATAAACTGATATTTGTCTAGATATATTTATAGTTTTACTAGATGGTGTGCATCAGTTGTTGACTAGCTCACTGAAGTGTTATTGTCAAAGTTGGTTGTTTGTACTTAATTTCTCATGTAGCTGTTCTGATGCATCTCAGTAATCCAGGTAAAAAATCAAAAGGAAAAAATTGTATAGGTCCTCTGGACGAATTCTTCTCTAATGAAATGTTTCGTCTCTCCTCCAAGAGACTTCTTCAGTCAGAGAGTAGGCTTTTGAGCACTGCCTCCAGGTGACTGATACTCACATCACATGGCTATTGTTGACACCTAATTAACACCTATTGTTAACAGGGGGTGGAGTGATACTGCCAATGGCAGCGCTGTAGGAGGGAGACAACTGAAAACGGAGGCCTCCACCTTTGTTTATTGATGGACGGTCTTTCTTCACAAAAATGGCTTCTTTTACTCCTCTCTCAAACCAACGTTCCTCTCTATCAAGAATGAGAACATCCTCATCTCTGAAAGAGTGACCGCTGGCCTGTAAATGAGTGAAAACTGCAGAGTTCTGGCCGTTAGATGTAGCTCGTCTGTGTTGGGACATTCTTTTGAACAGTGGCTGCTTTGTTTCCCCGATGTATAACTGGTCGCAGTCCTCCTGGCACTTAACAGCATATACAACATTGCTCTGTTTGTGCCGGGGCACCGGATCTTTGGGGTGAACCAGCCTTTGCCGTAATGTGTTTTGGGGTTTGAAAGCTACTGGGACATCATGTTTGGAAAATAAACGTCTCAGTTTCTCCGAAACACCCGCAACATACGGAATAACCACTGGTTTGGGTCTGGGTTTGGGGTCTTCATTTTCACCTGAAGGTTGCATGGAATCCTGTCTATGTTTCCTGTCTGCTTTCAGGAAAGCCCAGTCAGGATAACCACACTGCTCCAGGGCCTGTCGTGTGTGTGATTTCTCTTTCTCCCTGGCTCCTGGGTTTGTAGGGACACTGTCTGCTCTGCTTTTATTTGCTGTTAAGTGCCAGGAGGACTGCGACCAGTTATACATCGGGGAAACAAAGCAGCCACTGTTCAAAAGAATGTCCCAMCACAGACGAGCTACATCTAATGGCCAGAACTCTGCAGTTTTCACTCATTTACAGGCCAGCGGTCACTCTTTCAGAGATGAGGATGTTCTCATTCTTGATAGAGAGGAACGTTGGTTTGAGAGAGGAGTAAAAGAAGCCATTTTTGTGAAGAAAGACCGTCCATCATTAAACAGAGGTGGAGGCCTCCGTTTTCAGTTGTCCCCCTCCTACAGCGCTGCCATTGGCAGTATCACTCCACCCCCTGTTAACAATAGGTGTTAATTAGGTGTCAACGATAGCCATGTGATGTGAGTATCAGTCACCTGGAGGCAGGGCTTAAAAGCCTGAATTTTGCCTGAAACTCTCAGACTGAAGAAGTCTCTTGGAGGAGAGATGAAACGTTTCATTAAAGAAGAACCCGTCCAGAAGACCTATAAAAAAAAATTCCTTTCTCATGTAGCTATTCTCCAAATATGAAAATGTCGACAAAATCCCAAAAACAATCATAGGTAAAACATTTGTCTATGCAGCACAGTAAACTTGCAGGTTCTTTTTAAAATGGCACACAACAGTTTTGCATCTCATTGTCATCGTGGCTCCAAGCTGACATTTACAATTTTATGGCATTCTATAAAACGCCTCAATGTTTTTTTTCTTCCTTGGAAAAAGTCTCACAAATGACTCACCTTTAACCACATAATTTTCACGATCTTTATCTCATGACTATCAAAATATTACACACTAAACAAAGCACTAAAATGAAATGTTTATTCCATTTTAAAAGCCCAGCACATCAACACGTGTACCAAACAACTGATTAGATTAGAATAAACATAAAAGTATTATGTATTATATACATACCCATGTATGTTTATTCAGGGAGTCATGTCTGCGGGATTGCTACATAGGGCATATAAAAGTAGCCTAATGCAGGTCCTTCCCACAGAGGAAGAGCTTTTTAAAGAGACAACRCATAATGGGATAATAAAAGACATCATCAAATGAACCTTCATTTGATTTTCATTGCCTTTGGCTCATTGACTGGCGTCAATGGTCAGGTCACTCTGTAAACACCTCTTTGCGTGGAGTTTGTGGTCATGCACTTTACACGCATGTGAATCCATGCGTGTCCTTTTTTTTTTACTCTTTCTGCGTAGAAGCATTGCACACATACAGAGTTGTATTTGCAATGTTTAAACAAGCTCTTTGTCTTGGCTGACAGGTAGTCACTTTGTGTTCATCAGTGCCTTTAAAATCGTCACACATACAGCATGRCCAGGTGTTGCCTAGCTGGTCGCTGTCTAATCACAGATCAAGCCATGAGTTTTGCAGCTATCYAGCAATTTGAGAAATTACATCTCAGCAGAGCATTGTCCAAAACATTACACTTTTCCTCAGGTTCTAACACACAAAGTCCACCTTTATAATAACGCCTGTCTATAATATACAGCATGTAAACACGTCACCTGTGTTTTATAGCAAAACACTTCATTACTGTCATTTATGGGTTTTCAGCAGAACGTAACCACAGCTCCATAAAGAAACTGACAACATGACCTCATAAAGGGACAAAAATTTACAGTTCAAAATAATAAAATGAAAGATGTATTTCAATGAACGTGTAAATTCTTCAGATCCCAACACAGTTTTCACATTTCGTTATAAAAAAAATCACATAGATTTTTTTTGTATCAATCTTTAAAAAATTCTGAAGAAAACCAATTTGGTCTTAGTGTTCTCATGATCTGATAAAATTATTAAAATCTTACAGTAGTTTGAAATTTTTTTCACATTAAGGTGCACATCCTTTTTCTTACTATACAATTTAAAAAAATGCTCATTAAAAAAAATAAAGATGCTCTACTCAAGACACTGAGCAGGTTGAATAACCATAAGTGGCAATCACTGAGAAAATGAGCGGCCAAAAGAAGAAGAAAATCAGTTCAGTGATTTATGATTCATTTCCTACAGACAGATTAAAACATTATCGCATCTCGTTTCTGGCAGATGATGAACATAGAAAAAAAAAACACTTTAACATCGGCTTCTGTTTTGCTTAAACTTCATTCATGCGGTCACGTCTGCACAACGCTGGGTGTCATTGTGTTCAAACCTGTTTCTGTGCATAAAATCATCTTTGTCATGAAACCTCTGTAATATTTGCAGGGCAGGTAGAGTCTGTCTGATTTGAATAGAGATCTTGAATGTTTGCAAAAGTGACGCAGCTTCCTCTGTCTTTGAGCTGTAAAACGTCTGCTGCTTCCTGTAAACACATGACTGGTTCCGATGCAGCGTGTGCAGCAATGGCAGCAGTCCCAGTCGATACGTGGTGTCCATTGGGTATGCGGCTGCTTGATGCAGTATCTACATTTGTTGTCCTGCAGCTGGAAGGTTCGTGTGCAGCTTTGTGTCTCGTTTGATCAGGATAAGAGTCCAGGATGTAGCTGTTTACCACTGTGCTGCACGTTGAACCCTCTTTACTGATTTGGGAGGTCCGTCTGATGCCGTTGTTCCCACCGCCCCTGCCGTCAGCGTTCCTAACTCCGAGCTCTTCTCTCCGCCGCAGGATGTGTTGGTAAAAGATCTTCCGAAACACCTGCCTGAACTCCCGAATGCGGTAAGCGTAGATGAAGGGATTCACGACGGAGTTGGCATGGGAGAGGATGATGGCAATGTTCATCACCCAGATGTCCGGGCGCTTGCAGCCCCGACACAGGTGGTTGAAACAGTTGATGATGTGCAGAGGGAGCCAACAGAGAGCGAACAAACCCACAATTATGGCCAGCGACTTGGCAGCGTGCACCTCCTTCTGCAGGACCGAACGGGACGAGCTGGAAGACGGCATTCTCTGCCCAGGGTCAGGTGCGTGAGCCACTTTGATGCTCATCAGTCGGAGCTGCCGCCGCGCAGCCATGAAGATGTTGACGTAGATAACCAGCATGACCAGCARAGGGACCAGCACGCAGCCAAAAAAATTAAAATAGACCATGTAGTTCAGGGTGACTACTTCTTCAAACAAGCATTGGGTTTTGCCTGCAGGACAGCTTTTGCTTCCCTTTGTGGTTGTGGTGGAGTTCCACCCTGTGCAACAAAGACAAAATAGATTTACAGTCAGTTTTTTTTTATCCTAATTTTATYAACCAAACACATTTTACCATAATGGACAGCGTGCATGAGGTAACTTGTTTAGGGGTAATTGAGGAGCCTAATCTGTGTCAATAAAACTCAAATTTCCTCAGAAGTCATCTCAAAAATAAAAACGTAACAAATTTTTATTTAGTCGAGAAAAGGACATTACAATTAAATGAGGATTTTTCTTCAGAAATACTTCAAACATTTCTCCCTTACTTCAAAAATCATTCCCAGTAACTTCCTTTCCTTTGCTCACAAACAGCACACATTGTTGTAATGTTACACATTTAAAAATGTTTTTTAACTCATAATTAGTTCCTCATTCACCCACGTTTTAAAAACGTGGACTGTCTGAAACAAACAGTTCAAAAATCAAATTTCAAACCACTCTTACCGGAATACCACATGAACTTCACGTGAAGRAAAAAAAMCAACACATTTTGTCTTATCTCAAGAATCGTTCTGCCAATATATTTTCCCCCATAGACTGTTCATAGGAGCACTTAAGACAAGTTGTGAGAGAGCCATAAATTTAACTCTTCTCCCAATGTTTGTATGCAGAGCACTGGAAAATGACTAGACTGAAAAACAGGCACCAATATGGGGCAACTGTGAACTCAGAAACAAACAGGGCTTTTTCTTCAGCCTATTTATTGTACACACAGAAAATAGAATAGAATAGAATAGAATAGAATAGAATAGAATAGAATAGAATAGAATAGAATAGAATAGAATAGAATAGAACTTTAATGTTTATCGTAGTAGAATTTTTTCTCTTGTTCACTAGACATGTATACTAAAATCTACAGAACATATTGAGCAAAATACTAAAAATATACTGTATACGTGTTCATAAAAACACATTTGTATAATAAATATTTAAATTCTGTCCAGGTGACATTATCCCCTTATTATCCAGATTATTAAAMTTAGTCTTTGGTGCTGTTGGTCCATGGGTAGCTGATTTTGTAAACACTTCCCTTCACTTCCAGTGTATWCCAGCCATCGTAAACAAGCCATCGTTCARCCTCTTCTTAAAAAGAACAACTTGGACCCTAATGTTCTTTCAAACTTTAGGCCTATTTCAAAGCTGCACAGCATTTATGCTAAAGTTTCAGTCTGGTTTTAGGTCACRTCACAGTAGTGAAACAGCTCTTCTCAGGGTGTGCAATGACTCACTTTTAACTGTTGATTCTGTTGCTTCTGCCGTTTTCATTCTTGTTGACCTCACRGCTGCCTTTGACACAGGGGCTCATGAAGTTTTATTATCAGGTTTGGAACACTCTGTTGATGTGAAAGGCACGGCTCGTGCCTTTCACATCAGCAGAGTGTTCCACTGGTTTGAGTCCTACTTGTCTKATRGTTTTTCTGTCCAAATTGGAKAATTTTCTTCCACAGAGGCTCCTCTTAAATGTGAGGTACCTCAAGGCTCCATACTGGGCCCCGTTTTATTTTCTCAGTATTTGCTTCCAACTGGGGTCCATTTTCAAGAAATATAATGTGTCAATTTATTTTTATACAAATGACATCCACATTTATTTACCTTTTAGATCTGGTGGACCTCAGTGTTTGAAAAATCTGCAGAATTGTTGCAAAATTATGTTCTGTTTTAATATATTTTGAGTCAAAAAGGGGCAGATATAATAAGAATTGTTCTTCTTCTGCTACCTTTCATTTTATTTTGATTGCATATCTTTTTGGTTTATTTTTTGATTGTATATTTTTAATGAAATGAATAAACATTAAAAAAAAATCTGCAGAATTGTTCAAAGGATGTTAAAATATGAAAAAAATGTCTAAATGAAAAAAATAATAATAACAGAGTGCTGTTGGCTCCTTGGACAGACTTTCAATTTATTAGGAATCTTGTGGTATTTTTAGACAATAAGTTCAAATTTGACAGATAGGTCAGTGCAGTGGTCCGGTCTTGTTTTTATCATTTAAGGCTTACTAGCAAAGCGTCAGTATCCCCATGGTACCCTCAAGAGGGTTATTCATGCTTTTATTTTCTCTTTAATTTTGCCTTGGGGTGTGTAATGTGCTTTATAAATAAAGTTTTGATTGATTGATAAAAAAAAATGACAACTCAGTCGGATTCTTTAAAAACACTTTTTGCCAGAGGAACTCTGAAGTGTCTCTCAGACTCAAACTGGCCAAAAAGTGGGGGTCTGAGCTGCCTGCGATAAACACACACAGCTGTGTCACTTATATATATATGAAAGTGACATCATTAAAACTGCAAGTATCTTCACTAAAACATCTCTCACCTGTGTTCCAGCCAAACATAGGTGTGAGTCCGATGCCAAATGAGAGAATCCAGCACAGAGCTATGATGCACTTTGCTCTCTGACCTGTCACCAAACTGTTGTACCTGAAAGGTTTAACAGAACCACAGTCAGACAGGAGAAATACTTCTTCACCTCTGTGATATTATCTCTCTGAAACACAGCCCAAATCTGCCAATTTAAAGAGAAACAAAACACTTGTGCAATAAAGTCTAACTCTATTCTTTATTTATTCATCTAACTTCAGCTTTGYAAAATAGGCTTAGAGTAATCAGCTCAAGTTTGAACCCTGTCCTGCTTGTTCATAAATTTGCTGATGAAAACAAACACATCTAATGTTTCACCGTGCAGATGTGATGTCATCTGATGTTACGCTACATAACTCTGTGCACAGCTGTGCTTGTGTGAAGAAAGTTCCTCTTTATATTGTAATTTACATGTTTTTTTATAAACACTGACTTAATCTCTTGCACTGAATATCAGCCTGAAAATATTATATAAGAAACTCTTGTGCACTAAAAAAGTGTGGTGTAGCTGCAGCTCTGCAGCAGGTTTTTAAAGTACAATGCATCTATCAGTTCATGGGATATAAAAAGATAAATTAAAGCAAGCATGAACATTGACTGATTAAATCATTTTACATGCAGTACTTGGATGTTTTTGACTTTGATCCTGCAGGGCTGGGCAGTTTAACTAAATTGCRCCAYAGTTACTGAACRCTAACAGCTCAGAGACCGGACATCCTGCAGTTACTCAACAACTCATACACATCACACAAGATCTTGGCGTAAAAACACTTGGCATTACCTGTTGGAGTCACCTCTGTCTGTTAGCAAAATATCTCATGAACGAACAGATAGATTTAATTGAAACTTTCAGAAAATAATCCCTGGATGCACTTCTACAGCTCTTTAGCTTCGGGAGTCAATCAAATTCAAGATGGCCGCCCCAGCTAAGTAAACTTAGGAAACACAAAAATGGCTATAACTCAGCCAGTTTTACAGTTGTTAAGTTAAAATTTGGTGTGGTAGCAGCTGATCATCATCATTGAAAAACACTTTTGCCAAAAACATTACAAGGTTTTTCTGTCTTGGAAGGATTTGCACACATTTGTGAAACTTAATTGTCCATTATTTTTGATTGAACATACTGTATTTATTTGAGAAAAAGGGGCAGATATAATAAGATTTTTTTCTTCTTCTGCTACCTTTCATTTAATTTATAATTTGTACTTTTGTTATGTTTAATTTATGTTGTTGTTCTATTAAAGAAATGAATAAACTAACCGAACTGAACTGAACTTTATTCCCACCCACCCACCTGAGAGGGTTTTTGATTGCGATGTAACGATCCATGGCGATAGCCAGCAGGCTGAAGATGGAGTTCTGAGTGAGCACGAGGACAAAGCAGGCGATGAACAAGCAGCCGTAGTAATCGGCACAGAAACCCACACTGAAATAAACACAAAATAGGAACCAATCAATCATGAGAAATCCTCAGTGCGCCGTGTCTGATAATGTAATATTTGTGTGGCACAGCATTAGCCCCAGCCTCAAATTAAATAAGAAGGAAATGATACCTAATTGTGATCGCGAAAGGGATCGCCAGCAGCCCCACAGCAATATCAGCCACGGCCAGCGAGACCACGAAGAAGTTGGTGATGCTCTGCAGGTTGGAGTTGAGGCAGACGGCCCAGCAGACCAGGACGTTCCCAGCCACGGCCAGGAGAGCGATCAGCAGCTCCAGGCCAACGTAAACCACCTGGGAGCTCTCCAGCATGGTTGTTTTTTTCCTCCTTCTTTGCTTTCTTTGCTTATTCATCCCACACGCTCAGCTGCTCCACTCGTTTTTAGACTAAACATCGGCTCGCCGAACTGCACGGTAAAACCAAAAACAAATTAGTGATTGTGTCACCGAGGGAGAGCAGGAAGTTCCCACCACAATGGTCACACGTGCAAATGCCTAATTTCACTTAATGTAAATCTTTTACAGTCACAACTGCTTTATTTGTTTGTTGGTCTTCCTCTTTTTGAACTTTGCGTGTTTTCTGTTCGGTTCAGTGAATTTTGTCACAGAGGGAAGTAGTACGTTGAAGAAGGAGCATCTGGGAGGTTTGACCAACGGCTGCTGAAGTACGAGCAGAAGTCTGTGGAGGGAAAAGGAGAGAAAACAGAGTGTCAGTGGTTTTAGCTTGTACAAACAGACTGCAGGGGACATACTGGTACACACACGCATACACGTCAGAAAACAATCTATCACTGGAAGACAAGGGGACRGGGCCAAAGCAGACAGGCCAACAATGAGCTTTTTATTTCAGGAAAAGGTTCCCAAAAATTCTTTCTGCTAATCATTCCAGGCACCGACACACTCTCCTCCAAACACACTGAGTAACACACTAATATGCTGCACAGAAAATGCAACCTGTTTTTTTTTTTTAGATAAACTCCTGTATGTGGTAAGCGGGGCAGGGTTCATTGCACAAACCTGAATCTAAAATTAAAAGAAGGAAACAATATCACTGAAGACGGTTTGTGCAGTGCTGTGTATGTGATGTGTTTCAGCTGTTCCTTTACAAAATCTTCTCAGAAGCTCATAAAATGTCATTGATTTTTTTCCTTTTATTGCCAAAGTATCATCCATCCATCCATCCATCCATCCATCCATCCATCCATCCATCATCTTTCTTCACTGCAGGGTCACGGGGGGCCCCTGGTGCCCAGCAGTCGCTCTGCGAGGGGCGGGGTACACCCTGGACAGTTACCAAGAATCAGTGAATACRTAAAATAAAATTTGCTATAAAGGTAAATATAGAGCTGGAGTGCAGAAGTGGTTTAATTTATTTAGCAAAAAAAGTGAATAAGAAAAAAAAGGTTGGTCAAATTTGCTTCAAAACCTAAATATGCCTAAATACTACTGATACTACTACTACTACTACTACTACTACTACTACTACTACTACTACTACTACTACTACTACTA